ACAGCATTTGCAATCTGACGAAAGGCAAGATGTGTCGTTAACTCCACGAAAAAAGTGAGTCAATGGGACGCATTTCTGGCATAGAAACGATATTCTGTCAAAACTATCCATAGCCAATTACAATCGAAGTTCTTGAATATTGCAGAGTTCACAAAGAGAGGCTCAGGCGTGTAATCAACCCCAGTACTGCTGGGGTAAGCAAGAATGAGAATTTAATGCATTTTGTTAATTAAAATTACAATGAACCGTATGTACTTGATCAGAAATATTGCATCCACTGTAGATTCTACTGCGGTCTTGGCGCCGGCCACTGCTCTGCCCCAAGAGTGCTATGAGGGCCTCTCGGCTCAGTCCCAGCTCTCAGGTCTTCGCTGGGAAAGGCAGCTGAGCGCGATTCTACTACACTGGGCCACGGGCAGACGGCGCACACTGCTTCAATCGGGACTAAAGCCTGGCCATAATTGCAAATGCCAGTGGATTTGCGTAGAAATGGGTCACTGATTTCGAATTCAATACGAAATTCAACAATTCAAAACGGTGGAACGAAACTTTTAAAAACAAAAGTGCATACAAAATTAACTCTTATTATTAACTCTATAATCAAAATTGTACTTTTGTAGTTTGAAATTTTTGCAAAAATAGCTGAAAATGGGACCTGTTTCAATTGCTTTACTTTTCCTTGTATGTAGATATGAGGAACAAATGTAAGGGACAAATATAGTGACGTTTTGAGAAAATACTTGTTTAAAATTGTTTCAGAATTGATTACGTGTCATGCAAAATTATGTGATAACTTATTTATCATATTATTAACTCATATTTTGGGAAAATTCGTAGACGCGCGTCGATGATGCTGACCCAATCGCCCCTGGTCGGACTCTACCCAGCGGCGCTCGAACGCAACCCGCACTACCCTGAAGTACGCCCGGGAGATCCAGGTTCAGAGGGAAAGGCAGACATGCACCAGAGCGAGGAACAGAAAGAAAGAGATGGAGACAGAGAGGGACAGGGACAATGCAAGAGACGGAGAGAGAAAGGGAGAGGGAAGGAGAGAGATGGAGGGCAGGGCAACGTCTGCCCGGTTCCGCTAGTATCTTAAATGTTACGCCTCAAATACATATTGTCAGCAATACAGAGTATTAACCCTACATCTGCATATTGGGGTGTACTGGACCCTATCAATATTTAAAATTCACGCCGAGTGGAATGACAGCAGCATAGCGCTTTACGCAAATTTGAATTTCACCGTTTGCTTACCCTCATTCCACTCCACCTCACAGCCTCAGTTGGTTCTAATACTTCGCCGAAAGTAGAACGTAAGACGTCGGTGGTGCAACAAGGATCCATTGGAACGGTGTGTAGCTTCAAATTGATCTCCAAAAAGTGAAATAGAAGTACAATTCTTTCTATAATGCTTTTCCGATGGGACAATGGGAATTCACATTTTTGTTCCATCTCATTGTTGTGTGATGATTTCAAAGTGTATTCGTATTTATACTGTTAAAACCTGAAGAAAAATTAGAAGTTAAAAAAAATGGTTTACTTTTTAGATTTCCATCCCCCCTTGTTTTCATGCATTCTTAAATGAAAATAAAATACAATAACACACTTTTGAATGGTATAACATGTTCTTAGTCTTTTGTAAAAATAAAATCTTTGGGGTCTGTGAGATGCTAGTGTTAAGTTTATGTAAGTAAATTTTTTAATGGAAGCACATTGCTTTTGGTAGTTTTATTAAAATTAATACTTTTAAATAAAGATAATACAATTGAATTAATTAAAGATAATACAATTGAATAATTGAAATATAATTGAATGTAATAGTCTGAAAACATATTTTATTGTAATGTATCATATCGTTTAGAATTGCTACGATCATATATAATGATTAATTATTTTCTTCCCATCACAAATTTCCTAGCGTTTTTAATATTTGGAATGCCTAAAAATATGTGCTTCTCACTAAACGTTTCATGGGTCGGCGGTGCAATAAAAATCATGTTTTTCAGCATTCATTCTAATCCACGAAAACCTAGTCTGCAAACGGAAAACTTTACGCACTTGTCCATGTAGTAAAACAATTTCCTTTAACGGATCTTCAAAAAATGAAATTTGTCAACGCTGTGAAACATACGGATTCAAATAAGTAATTGACTCACTAACTTTTCTGTAGTTCTAGCGTGAACATGCAGTGCGTTAGGGACCAAAAGTTGCGAGTTTAAAATTTTTGAAAAAGTGAGAAAGTGAAAAAAAAGAAATACGAAAGACTGAGTAAAATTATACATCGGAAGTATGTTTTTGCCTTATAATGTATAATATAGTGTAACTAATGAATGCTATTTGTTTAATATTAAATGTACATTGAGAAACTAGGAGTGTTAAAAGAGCACCTACTTTCTCCCCGGATTTTCACGCAAAAATTGCGCGAAAAGTACTCAAATTTTCGCAAACTGGTACAGGACCTTTTTTCAAAATCCATTTTTAAGGAACAGATTTCTTCCGGGAAAAATTATCTTTTGTATTGTAGGAAGACTCTGATGACATTTTCAACTTTTCCAGTTTTCGAAAAATATGGGTTATTAACGAACACGAGACCTGCACCATTCTCTTAAACGTCCTTCTTAATACCCAACAACAAAATTTAATAAAAAACGATGGAGCCTTTTTTTGAAATTTTTGAAAATGTCCCAGAAGCTTCATGGGGCTTTGGAGTACCACCAAAATTGAAATATCGGTTTCAAATTCAAGGGTTGCGACATTAGCCACATAGATTGAGGAATATTACGAAACCGCTGGCGCTGTTCACAGACGGACGGATGGAGTTTAGCATTCTTTCGATTTTCAGTACCAAGGACCCCAAAACACGGATTTCGGCTACCCCACGTGTAGGAGGATTTTTATCCAAATTTAGCAACTGCATTTATCCACTTTTTCGTTACCAGAGCCCTGTAATAAAAGTTTTTCTGCCGAAAATTCGCCGTTTTTTCGCGCATTACATAACTTTCTCTCTACTCCGTAGCGAGAAAGTTATGTAAAGAAATAAAAGGCGAACCTGTTATCACAACTAAATATTGACTGTTATATTCAATAGCTCACTTTTGTGTTATTATAAACGCGAATCTGTTCTTTTAATCAAAATGTCGGTTCCATAATTATAAAAAAAAGTTCCATTGTTGTTTGGACAACAGAATAATTTTCATTACAAATGAATAACAAACACTGAAATAAAGATAGATAATTGTTGTAGCCATTTTGAAAGTGTATTGGATGTCAATGTCATTGAAAGACTGGAAAATGGAAAAAATGGTTTTCATTTTCTTTAACTACATCTCAGCAATCAAAAAAATCTGAAAAAAATCAAGAATTTTGTTTTGAGGGAGATATTTTTCGGGGCCTGTTCCAGGATACAACGAGAGGTTTTGTTTTTTCCCTAAATCCCTCTCTCCCCTAGTTTTTTCAAGTCTGAATTTGGCTCTAAGAAAATTTAATGTTTTCTGGTAGTATGAATAATTTTATTTTTCAACTTTTTTCAATCAGACAAAAATAAGTTGACGAAAAAGTGAAATAAGAAAACACGCTTCTGACTAGAAGAGCGTGGTTGGAAGAACGGAGGCTGAGAAACCTTTCAAATATCCTATTTTTATGTTAAAATTTGTAGCGTAACAACTCATGCCATTAGATTCAGGGGAACTTTTTACCATCTTATGCGGGGGAACCCTTTGCCCCCCCTAATACAAGATCCGTAATTTCGCCTCTACAAATAAGCATAAGAATATTCGGTTATAGTAAACCTGAACCTCGGCTATAGTGAACGTAGGAAGTACAACGTCCAGAAAATTAATTGCTCCCGGGAAAATAATACATCGCCACAAATTCCAACAGGCAGTTTGGAAAAAATTTCGTCGGCCAAAGAACATAGGCGAAGAAGTCTCATCTGAGATCAATGAAACAGACCTGGGATGGGTACCTGACTTATTACTTTATGCCACTCACACCAGTTTCACTGCGGAAACAAAGGCCGTGTCCTGCTGGCTCCTGCTGGCTCTTACTGGCGGCGGTGACGCGCGATTGCTTGCTTCAGTTTCAACCTTGGTGGTACATTTCACGGGCAACGCGCGTTGTGTTCTACGTAGGCGACAGGGAACGCGCGACTGCCACCGCCCCGCGCGGAAAAGCGATCGGTTTCATTAGCCGCTTGCATCATTATGCTATCGAAAGGAATTCGTATGTAGGCGAGTAAAAGACCTGCCCGGGCTCCGGAGAGTGGGGCGGTGTTCCAAGAGTGCAAGAGGCATTGAACGGTGTCAAAACTGCATTACGATGCTTAGAGACAGTGGACAATGCAGAATCAAGTGTGGAAAGATAATGAACTCTCGAGAAGGTTTTAGATACATTACGAATAAAAAATGTACGAAGGAAACTATTGAAAATAATTGATTTTTAAACACAAACAAATATATTGGATATTTCAGTTCATGCGGTTAATGCATTTCGCTGAATCTCTATATTAATATAATTAATCATTGTATAATCAATACTATTTAATTTTGACATCATCAAATATAGTGAACCTCTGATATACTGAACCAAAAATGTGAGTCCGCAGAAGTTCACTACAACCGGAGTTGACTGTATATGCATTTTACTGGAAATTTTGTCGAAGTTAATATTGTAAATAATAACAGTTTCGATGAACCACGTGTTTTGAAGATTAGCAAAACACTAAAAACAGGGCGAAATTTTAAGTTGTTTTTTTCGATTTTCGCTATGAAGCTGACCTTTTTTGAAATGGCAAACGTCAAATTCGAATTCAGCACCCTCAAAAACCATTGAGAAAAATACTTACGGAATTTTTCCTTCGGTCAGATTCCTGTTGATTGGATTACACCTCAATAAGAGTTCAAAAGAAAGTGAAAACCACTATTGCTGAGAATTTTAAAACATCCTGATCGTTGTAATTTTTTTTTTCTTGTAAGCGACACAAGTAGATAAATGAATACCTGAGAATGCATTAGATCTCTTCTGTGGCCTTTAGGTTCTTTTCCTATTGCAGGCACTAGGACACCAAGACATGCTTCAAACTTTTCTAGAGCTGTCGGATACTGCCCTTCTGCCATATAGAGTTCAGCATCTCTTCCAATTTCTAGTGCACTAGTTAATCCAGGAGTTGCAGAACAAAGGCGACCTATGGGTAAAAATAATTTCAAGGAGTGAGTAAAAGTACAAAACCCATACCCCAAATTCAGAAATAGAAACTTACATAATTCTTTAAAATTTGTAGCATTTATGTCTTGAAGAGATGTCTTTTCTGGGCTAGGGCCATACACAATTTGTTTCAAGTCTTCAGCTCTCTTAATATAAGAATTAACTTTGGTTCGTAAAGCAATTTTCTTATTTACATCAACTTCTTCTGCAAAAACATTAAATTTGTATTTCTTAAAAAATAAAGAGGTCACAAATTTAAATGTTTAATTAGTTACAAAAGTTTGTTTTATTTACCATGAACCAAAGGAATAAAATATTTCAGTGCTTCACAATATAAGGAATAGGCTTCAACAAAATTTTTATCCCTATCACATTTAACAGCATCACAGACAAGATGTACTGCCTTTTCATATGATTCATTTGATGGAAAATGCTCCAAATCAAGAAACGGATGATCAAAGAAGTCCTCATAACTAATTCTTTGATCTGGGTCATGTTGTAAAAGTCTTGTCAACAAATCTCTACATTCTGATGAAATTGCTGAGCCAGGAGGAATCTACAGTTAGAACAAACAATGCAAATATTTAGCGAATATTTTTCTACACATCTTTGTGGGATCAAGGATTTTATTTAGTACATTTTTTTCATTTCATGTTTATGCATATGTGCACTGAAACTATAATAATTCAAAAAACTAATTTGGGACACTCCAGATTGCTTCCATGAGCATGATATTCAGCATATTAAAGATATTTTTGATTAAGACTAGAAAGAGGATTAATGAGAAGAGCCTGTCTCTGCTTGAAGTACGGTAATATTTTCAGAAACAACCAGGTCTTTACAACCCTATTTCATGATCATTGTGGAAGCCTATTGCCATCTGGTGCATCCTGTCCCCAGAAAAAATAGGTGTTAATAAGCACACACTTAGCCTTTAGGTAATGAGGCATTCATGATAAATAATTCATTAACCTACTAAATACTTAAGTACCTTACACATTCAAAAATTATTCTAAAGGATGAAAAAAATATTTTCAACACACAATTTTCTTTCCGCTTTCTAAAATTATTCTCAATTTTATTATTGTTCATGATCAATTCAATTCCAGTTAATAGTCTTGTCAGTACAAATTCTAACATGTATTTATTTTCAAAAATGATTTTAGCATGATGCCACTTTATTCTTTAGCACACTAAGTTAACTCCTCAATACATTTAATGATCAGAAAAATTCTGCATTTTAATCCTGTATTAACAGATATTTCCAAACTAATAAATAACTATTCAATTTATTCTTGGTCCCTCTTTATAATACTACACTCAAGAACGAAGTTGCTTTTGACAATTAAAGACACCATCAACAAAAAACCCATATACTCTCACTCAAAAAAATATTCGGACACCTACGATTTTTCCCTATTTTTTTTATATTTATATTAATACATCGAAACGTTAAAAAATATTCGGACACATAATATAAACAAATTAATAAAATTAAATAAAACAAAAATAAGCACATCAATAATTTGTGGTAAGTCCTTTCATTTTCAAGACTTCATTCAACCTCTTTGGCGTACTGTCAACGAGTTTTCAAGTATATTCTTGAAAGCTCTCTTGTTTCGAAATGCTCTCGTGGCTCAGTAGAGAAGTCGCTTCCCTTTCTTTACTGAGGATCCTGGTTCGATTCCCGTAGAAATCCTGTGAAATTTGTTACGCCACAGGGGCTAGTCCGTGTCCTAATCCAAATTCCTTCCAAATTCTAGCTTGTGCCCCTACTAGTGACGCAGGGGCAGATAGTGGGAGGCGCGTACGCAGTGATGATTCTTGGCGGCACTCATGACAACTGACTGCGTCGAGACGTGACGGATATGACATTGAAATATCACTGGAGATTACTCTTCAACGCCCCCCCCCCCCCCGGAGCTGGAGACTCTCCAATTGAAAGACGCAACAAAGCTTTAAACAAAAAAAACTCACCCACACCACTCACCGCCCTACAGCCCCATACCATCGTACGTTCCCACCGTGTTTCTCTGTTGGCTGCAGATTCTTCTCTTACAACTCCACACCAACGTTCTTCCAAACACATTGAATTTACTCTCGTCCGAAAATATTACTCGATTCCACTATTCAATATCCTTGTTTATCTATTCGTCTGCGAACTTCCGCCTTTTCCTCTTGTTTATCTTATGAAAGGCTTTCTTTTAGCCACCCGACGATGAAATTCTGCTTTTCGTAGAATCACTCTCATTGTTTATGGATGTACTTCTCCAGTTCTTTTCTTACCTCTGCAGCAATCTTTGGTGCACTTATTTTGGGATTCTCTTTAATCTTCCTGCGGACGATCTCTTCTCGACGCGAACATTTATGGAGAGGTCCATTTAGACGATGACACTCAATTCTATCTTCGTTTTTAAATCGCTTGATATCATATACTGTGCTTTTCTTCTTCTTTCTCTCTCTCTCTCTCTCTCTTTTCAATTTCACGGCTGCACGTGCCTTGTGCATTATGAAAGATAACTGGCGCTGTTCGAAAGAGCTGTTTCTTCCTTTTCGAGGAATTCTTTCAACTTCTTTCTTCAAGGAGATACACTAATAGAATTATTTTTGACAGCGCTTCCATTGACCGTTACAAACGTCCATGAATCAATCGTGGAAATAGTAATAATAATAAAAATAATATTTTATTAAGTCACGTATACAATTACAGTCGTATAAGACGAGTTAATATGTCTTGGGTGGAGAGAGTGAAGTTACATTTCTATCAAGTAGTAGAAAAGTTACAATTGTTTTTGCCCAATAGTTCGTTGACAAAAATGATTGATATATGTCAGACCGAATATTTATTTGATGTGCATTTCCGTTACTGGAAGTTTATCATCGATGTATAAGCAGAAAAACGCATTTTGCAGTGTAGGAGCATTTAAAGCAAAAGTAATATTAACATTATTACTGGTATAATATTTTTATTGTTTTAATAGGCTTAGAGCGTGTTCAACGTAAGCTGAGTACTGTCAGAACAGTTTTTGAGTGTGTGCGTGTGTGTGTGCGTGTATGTGATATACTGATGGATATGAAATATCCCCCTCCCCCATATTTGTATATTTAAGATTAAAAAAACAAACAATTTCACAGATTGTGATTAAGGAAAACAGGTTCAAATATAATCCACAACTTTACATGCTGTAACACACAACTTGACATACTGTTACTCGACTAAAATGATGTATCCTAAGCTCTTAAACATTGACTTCGATGTACTTTAAGACATGAGTTAGTTACGTATGTTGTAATCTACAAAATGAGACCTTTTTGGATGATTTACGATATTTCTGGGCGATCTTTTGGTTATGGTCGGAGTCTGGCATTCACTATTCCATAAATTACCCTAATACTTGCAAAATACGTGGGATACCAACCGTGGCATTTACTCGCTGTTTCGCCAAATTAGTCAGCAATTATTTTTTTTCTGTTTACTTTAACGCAGATATCGGCATCTGTCTCGACGGCACAGCCTGCTGTTGACTGAAAGTGCTCTTGGTGAAACCGTGTTCCGGTGGAAAGTGCCCTTTCTGGACGCGACTCTCACTATTTGAACGGGAAATTATTCCTTTGAAATATTTTCATGTCAGAAAAACAATCGGGAGTCGTGGAGGGGCAGTTCGTAGCAATCGCCACGTTTAAACCTTTTCTACTTTCCCGTATACATACGTATATAGGGAGAAATATATGTAGTATAGGGAAAGATATGTAATGCCGCGGAAAATAGAATTCGAGATTTCAACGGAAATACAAGTTTTGAGGTTCTTTTCAAAACGCCAGTCTGTCTGTGAACACAGCACCTAAACCACGTGTAGGATTGTTTTCCAAAATTGGAAAGAAAAAAAGAAAAAGAAAAGAAAACTGTCCATCTGACCCGAGTCGAAGCTATGGGATTTTGAAAAACATTTTTTTAAAATTTGGGGGTACTTTACATGAAGCCCCCCAGATATTTTCAAAAATTTCTCAAAACCGGCTCTGAATTACTTTAAATTTCTTGTAAAAATAGAGCAAAATACACCTGCAAACTACCAGCGCTATCCTAATACAACTAGCATAGATCCGATTTTCACGGATAACGCAACATTATCAAAAATTTCAAAAGATTTGATTTTTTGCGTCTTCCCACAACTCCAAACTTGAAGATAGAGATTTTTCCTTTAAATAAAATTTGTTTTCCATTGAGTTATTTAATTAAGGTTATGTAAATTTTTGTGAAAATGTTAGTAGTTTTCAAGCAATATTGTTTGCAATTCGGGCAATATTAAAAAATAGTAGAACAAGATTTTCTTAAAAACCGCTCAAACTTTTTCCTTTACACTTTCGGTAGGGATAATATTAAGTGTACTCTATAAGATAGGATAAACTCCATACATCTCTATTCTTTAAATATTAGAAAAATGTATCTTTTTACATGTTTCTCACGTCGTTAATATTTACATTTCAGGCGATTTGTTCACATTACTATATTTATGAGTACACGTGCTTTAAATAATGTCATATAAAGTTTCTAGAAAACTCAACAGTTTTCTGGGAAAGCTAGCTCAAAATTCCGCATTTTCAGAAACGCTCAACCGCCATTTTCTCAAATACGGCTCCAAATTTTTTCTCCAAACTTTTGGAACGGATTGTGCTAATTGCACTCCTTAATGACAAAATTCATTTTGAATTTTTTTTCTTTCAAAAATTACACGAATATAATTGTTTTTAAAAATCTCTCACGCCGTTAATATGCATAATTTCAGCAATTTATAAAAAATATTGTATTTGTGAGTAAATGTGCTTCAAATAACTTTTAATGAAGTTTTTCGCAAACTCAAAAATTTTCTTTGAAAAGAGCTTCACATTTTTGTTAGCGCTTAAACGTAATTTTCTTAAAAACGGCTCCAAACTTTTCAACGAAAATTTCTATTTAGGACGAGATTTTATTAATCTTTAATATTATAATAAAATAGTTCCGTTCTACTATTGAGAAAGCGAACTATTAAAGAAAAGTTCAAAAGAATGCACTTTGGACAGCGATAGAGTACAGCTGGCAAAAGCATGTGGCAAGTCCGAGTAGCTAGCAGAGACCAAAGGAAATATAAAACTAATACGAGATAGTCTGTGCCACTAGTTTCTTTTATTGCGCGCCCAGCTGCGTACAATATTTTACGCAGAACTGTTTTCCTCAAAATAACGTTCATGTGACATTGAACCACTTCTTTTTGTAACTGGAGTTCACACAAACATTTTTGAATTGTGTGCGACTTCTCAAATGAATTTGCATACATCCATCTTATTTATTTTACGTCAAAAAGTTAAAAACTGCGTGATGTGTTAAGGGGGAGAAGCGTTTTCTGTTTTCTTAATTCTGGGATCCCTACCCTAACAAGTTGAACTCTGGATACACAACGAAATGAGCGTTTTTGGTCAGAATTATTGATAAAATATTCGCTCCGATGTGATAAAATCTATTTTTATGAGCAACTCAGCTATAGATTTGGACTCTTAATTCTCATCATTCCTTCGAAATAAGAAAATACTTCCTGTCCCCACATCAAGGAGAACGATAATATGAATAATGATATTTCCCAATGAACTCTATAAAGACGACGTGCACAGATAGTGAAGTTAGTTACATTTGTCCAGGAGCATTCTCTCAAAGAATCAGGGAAACTGGACTTGAAAAACCTGATCGAGATGGGGATCATTGACCAGAATCTGAGGTATAATACTTGTTACAGGTGTTTAGAATTATACAGTCCAAATGGTAAATAGTACAACAAATATCATTGTTAGAATTAATATTAATTTCCTTTTTGATAGTCGGTATAGTCTCTAATTGTGTAGAAATAGTTATGCAGCAGAAAAGCTTTCACTTGGAACTTAAACTTTTGCATTTATTTTAATCGTTTATATGTCATCTATGAAATATTTCAATGTCACATGACAAAGTGATGTAAAATAAATGTACATTTATTGCATGCGATTTTTTTTATAATGAGCTGTTGTTACTGCCACTTGATGAATTAGATTCCGCGTCGAGTTTTCTAATTATAGACATCGGCGTTTGCTGAAAATGCACTCCCTCGTTGAGTAAGTCATTTATGGCAAAAACCACTGATTCGTAAAACATAAGCAAGGTAATGGTAACATTCTTACATTATTAAAGAGAGGCTTCACGTGGGTGAGACTTGCTTATTGTTCATACAATTATTTTTTTCATCTAATAGTCTGTATAAGATTATTTTCCCAGAATATTATGCAATATCTCAGGCAAGAATGAACATTCGCGAAATATGTGCAATGAGAGCAGTATGAATGCTGACTGAACTTGAAAGATTTCTGAACCACTAAATTTAGATTTATTCAATTACTAGCATAATGAACTTAATTTGTGTTCAATTCATTTAAATTGACGTTCCATTTGATGTACGGCTGAATTGAGAGACCTAAACACTGTGTTACCTTACCATCGTTACTTTTCAATGCAATACAGAATTTTTATTAGAAACTGAAAACTGCTTTGAAACTGTTTTGTTTTCATTTACTATTTTTTTTATTACGGAACCCATTTGAAAATTCGATATTGTACTATTTACGGTTTTTTTATTGCAAAGAATATTTGTATGATCCGCAAAATGGCGTGAATTGTCGAGGACATATCGTTTACGTATAATACGAAGAGAAATGGCCCTATAATCGATCCCCATGGGACTATGTGCAATTGGCCATGAATCGGAAAGATCTGTACATAAGGTTTCATCATTCCAGTAAGGTATTAATATTCTCTGATATCGTTGTTTAAGGTCCGAATATAACCAATCTAGAGCAATACCACAGATTCCATGCGAAAGTAATTTTGAAAGTAAAATGTTGCGATAAATGAGGTCAAAAGCTTATGAAATATCTAAAAATATTCCAATAGGTGTTTCGTTTTGATCCGTGGATGGAGCGACATCTTTAAGAAAACAAAATATGACTGTATCCGAAGATATTGGTATTCGAAATCCATGTTGGTAATTTGAAAACACGTCATGTTTACTGAGAAAGGTTTCCATTCATACCTAAAAAAGCCTATTTTTTGGGAGAGAGAGAAAAAAAAGAGAGAAATTGGCCCATAATTTGGGATTTTTGTTGCCTTTTTTTTGAAGAGCGGCTCCATCCATCTTAGCTGTTTTGAAAATATCTGGAAAAGTTCCGGTGAATAAGGGTGCATTAAATATACGAGATAAACACTTGTGTGTCTCACCATTACACATCCATTAACAAACAATCTGGAAATTCATCTAGACCCAGCGATTTTTTTAGTTTTCCGATTATTTTGAGAATTTCACAGGAAGAAGCTTCAGAAACGAAATCGCGTCTACATTTTTTTTGGGGGGGGGGGGACTTCTAATGTTAAATTTTGTGACTGAAAACCCATAGTAAGATCAGCAGCAATTCTTGAAGAGCCTAGTCACGGTTGCTGGATCGTTCACATATTTATCTTTTTCGTTTACTTCATGCATTTCCATCCCTATGAGCTTTGTCAACCATGTTGTTATCAGGGAGTTTGTGCACCCTCGAACCTTCAAGCACTATCGATCTTCTGCGCATGCGTACTTCAGGTTTCGCACTACTTGAATGAATCTGCGCACGCGCACAAGGTCGATGTGCTGCCGCAATGGGCGCGCACGTATTCCCTCTTTCCACCATGTTGTCAACCTCTTTGCTTGATAGGTTTGGAAACGCTTAAAATAGGGGGGAGGGGAGGGGCACGTGGACATCATGCTCCGCTCGTTACAAGAAGATCTCTAGAATCTCCAATTCTTGAAGGGTCCCTGGCTTTGTAGTATGGATAGGCAAAAACATTGGGTTCCAATATATAGCTGTACTTGTTTTAGAACAATAATTTAAAATTTTCATGTTCAAGTTTTATGTTTCAAACTCATATTTTATAAAACACAAACTCTGAACTCATTATTTCAAAATTTAATTCTAAAATTGTAAAATGTCATTTTGTTTTACTTCTAAGATATGTAATAACAAATACAATTAAATAAATCAAGAATAACGTCAAACCATGGGTAAAAATTGATTTACATTTACATGGATTCTATTTACTCCCTTGTCATGGAAAACTGATCACATGCCGCACTTGGCATGCAAGTCTCAGATTCCAAATGTCTCTTTTAACCAGGAGGACCCCTCTTGCTTGTTTCCAGTGGAATAAAAACTCCAATAGTTCTAGCATTGCAAGTAATATCTGATATTACTTTAAAAAGTAAAATATTAGTAAAAATACCAGTGTGAGTTAAAAGTACCATTAACCCTTAACTACTGGCACTGGGCCACTTTGACCCAAATGCATGATCTCTTTTAAACTTTTATGAACACAGAGAGCTACCAATGATGAGAGTTCCATGACATCTATTCTGAAAATGTTCTTATTCAAAGTATGCAATGAAAAATACTGTTGCCATATCTGTTTCTCTGAACTGCCCTTTCTGATCAGACACCAGTGTGTGTTCCTGTGCATTTGTATGTGGTGGATGTGCAAGCATGATAACTCTTGTCTTTCTGATTTATTTTCAGTCAAGTAGTGAAAACCGCTTCCTGCCACGTAAACAAGTATTCGAAAGAGAAATTCAAACCTTTTTCGTTTCACAAAGGAGGTGACAAGGACATCTCAACTACCAGCCATGTCATGAACTGTAGTTATTGCTACTATTAACAAAAACAAGAAGATAGACAAATACACTTGCAGAAGACAGAAATTCTAACTTTTCACAAGTACATGAAAAGAGTGGCCACTTGTGATCATCTGTGTAGTAATTACAATGTAGGCAGAAGAACAAGATGTCCATTAGCTGTATTATTTTATTTTGTACGTATGCTGATTTTTTATTTTTACATGTATTTCAACATCATATATACTTTTAAACACATAAGTTTACCCCTTCCAAAAAACTTACAAAGGGCATGATTTTCTTAAATCAGAATGGTTGAGTCTGTATGACCTGACACCTGTGTAAGCGTTAAAGATCTCAAGCCAGTAGTTAAGAGTTAATTGATAGAAACCACAAATTTCATTAACAATGAAAAAGCAAGGTTTCACTAAACAAGCCTGTTTGCAGTTAGAAGTAACTACCTGAATAGGTGTTTGAGCTTTAATTTTCTCAGCTAACTCTTCAAAACTGTTAGAGGAATATGGAGCTCTACCAAACAGACATTCAAACATAATTACACCAACAGACCACAAATCCACTCGAGCATCATGGTTGTGCTGCAGGAGTATTTCTGGAGCCATATACAATGGAGATCCACGTAATGAACTAGATTTTTCTTCAGATGACAATAACTGAGCAAACCCAAAATCTGAAATCAGCAATGATATTTCTATTCAAATTATGCACAAAGTTGCTACACCAGAAATAATCGAAGCAGAAAGGATTTTTTCTGAGGTGCTAGGAGCAAGGGGAACAAAACACTCGGACACAAATTTCAACGTTCCAAAAGAGCCCAATGAATATTAACACTCTTCTGAATTGAAAACTGTTAATGATTATTAAGGTAACTAAAATTGAAGTTCAATCTTCAAGCCTATTAAATTCTGAAAGAATTTGATGGAAAGTAAATTTAAAAGTCAAAAGAAGAAAAAAATAGAGTTTTCAAGAAAGAAGCAGTTTTAATCCTAAAAGAAGAAATGTTAAAGATCAAGACACAACAGTTACATAGAAATGTTATGAAAACAAAGGAGAAAAGGAAATATGTGAAGGATGTGTACGCTTCTTTATGGAATGGAACATATTTTTTCTACTAAATAAGACATTATCTGGCACAAATGCAGCAAATTCTGAGCAATCAAAATGCATATAAATGGTGTATATAAATTTAAGCTACATTTTAACATTCTCCAAAAACTACAGGATCTAATGTATGTTTCACACCTGAAAATATTCCTGGCATACATAGATGCCGGGAGTGATTTGTTAATTTTTAACAAACTACAATTTACCTCCTAACTTCAAAGTAAGTTGTGGTTTTGTAGTAAGCAGTAAATTTTGTGGTTTTAAGTCCATATGACAAACATTATGAGATCTCAAAAATCGGAGAGCAACAGCCAGTTGCTGCAGAAACCGATGACAGACTTTTTCAGGCAGTTTTTTTCTTCTTTGAATGAAACGTGAGAGATCTCCTCCTTCACAGAACTCCATTATAATATATATAAACCTGCAGAAATAATTAATATAATTTCAACAATATGCAACATTGTTTGAATTAATGAAGGTTTTTTATATTAGACAAAGACACCTGAAAGTTACCAGGCAACACATCATTTTTGGGTTAGAATTTATGGAGAGAATTGGCTAATTTAAATAAACAAAGAATTATTTAAATACCTTAAAACAACTTTAATTCTTTGCAAATGATGAAGAAAAACAGGGATAAATAATGAAATATGACAATGTAGTACAAGTGGTAAGGATATAAAACTGCTCTTTTACCCTTTCTTAGTAGGACCTAAGTCATTCATACACTATGTGAAACTCCTGTTTACAAAAATAGCATAATTGGGACATTCCGTCTTATGCTTTTGGAGATGTCTTAATGATATAATGTAACAAACCTCTCATCCCATTGGAAATCTCTCATTTCCACAATATATTGATGTTTCAAAACTTTTAGAAGTGTTATTTCAGTGATAATGTTGTCAATTGCTGAACGAGACAGCTTGTTTTTTGACACACATTTAATAGCCACCACTTCTCTAGATCCATCCTGCACAAAAATGATTTCATGATTTGTAATTTGCCATCTTACTTAAACAATGTCAAATCCTGAATATATATATAATGTATCAATGAAAAAAAAAATGTTTTCAAATATCAGATGCACTTTATGGTGTACCTTTTTAAAAGCTTTGTATACTGTAGAATAGCTTCCTGAACCAATTTTTTCAGTGGTGGCGTAACCTTTCAATAGTGGAATGGACATAATGCATATTAATCCAATTTTTCCTTTTTCTTGTTCACAAACGAAAATTCTTCTGAAAGAAGTTGACATGGAGGAATGTACACATCATTTCACTTTCGTCCACAGTACAGCGTAGTTCTCATATTCATAATCGAGCTACAGACCTTTTGTTGTTGTTGTTTGTTTTTGTTGTTTTTTTTAACTACTTGTCGCCTGTCAACTGTTAGCCAGATGGAAGTTACAACTCGTTTGTAATCATAAAGTGTTGTGAGTATCCTTGGAAATCTTTCAAAATCTTTAGTGGAAATTTAAATATGTAAACAATAATATTTACGAATACGAATAAAAATGTCGCGCAATGTCGCGCAATTCGATGAAACAAAATCTTGCAATTGTACCACTGTCAATAACATACCCATGAGGCTTAGCGTCAGACAGGAGCTGACGTCATGTGCTAAACATCGTCAGAGACACAGGTGCACTAGTTTGTAGATTGTGACCTTATCCAAATCATTAGTGTTATATTTTTCATTTTGTGTAAATTTTAAGTGTTCTCCGGCTGGTGTCGGAGGAAGATTTGGCACGTTTGTTTCCAAATTATGGATTCAGAAGAGGAGACACTATACGACGATTTTGACTCTGGGAATGAATCAAGCGGGGATGATGTTGATTTTGCAATGGAAGTTGAGACTAACAATCCTAGAGAAAGGCAAACCGAAGTAGAAGAATATCCATTTGAAGTGTTATCAACTGAAGAAATTGTTCAACACATGGTTGATTCCATCAAGGAGGTTAACACAGTTGTGGAAGTGAGTATCTGTTCACGAAAGAAAAAATACAAAAGACCGTATAGTGAAGGGGTTATGAGCAAATTTAGCTTGTGCTTGAGCTTGTAAAATTACGAGAAAAGAACCAATAAAATTGTGTGTATAAAGATTTTGTGACATTTTATTCGATTTTGAAATTGTAGACATTAAATAAGGCTTGTACTGTTCATGAATTGCATTATTGTGATCCAAGATACAATGAAAAATATTGTTTCGTTACGAATAATATATTTCAAAATTTATTTCTTTGAAGATTACCTTATTTCAAGTGCTTTAGACGATTTTTTTCATAAAAAAAATTGGCAATGGAAAGTTGTGCAATACTCTGTTCATAATAGACAATCTGTCAAAAGATACTTATAATTCCCGTAAATACATCTGTGAAGGTTTGTTAATAGTTATTTATTATTAAATAATCATTACTGTGTGCATATTCTGTTTGCAAATTAATATTCAGAATATTGGTTTGTTGTTCCTATATTTTTTCTTTGTGATAACCATTCCAATAAAATTGACGAACACTTTGTCTACAAACATGCAAGTAATGTCAATTCTTTAAAAAAGTAAAATGCATTTTAATGAATGCATAAAATTAAATTTGTTAACTAGCAAAATGTCTTAAAACATTTTGCAGAGTAAAACAATCAAATCAATTTAAAGTGTTTAATTTTTATTCTTGAGATTCCTGCAACCACCACACGCATTTTACTTAACCATTTCAAATGGGATAAAGAAAAATTAATGGAGAGATTCTACGACGGAGATCAAGATCAACTTTTTTCTGAAGCTCGAGTTATAAATCCATTTAGAAAGCCAGCTGTAATTAACAGACCGAAGGTAAAGGTATGTTGCAAATGCTTTAAAACTTCAGTACATTGTGTTTGTTATTTTTCTGAATTTTAACTATCCATTGCTCTATGTTCAGAGAAGTACTCATGAAATCTATCTCATTTGATCTAATTTTACTTGCATAAACATATGAAAGACAGAAGTAAATAATAGCATTTTAAAGTTGTATGTTTTATTTTAATAGTAATTGCTTTTAAACTGTAAGCTCTATTAAAGTATATTGACAGAAAATGGTACTACTTGGGGGACATTTCTAAACAGATCCCTAATGTCAATCCACTACTGCTTCTAAGGGTCAATTTTTAAGACTGCCAAACTAGTTATGAGAAAGGTGTTTGATATCTTATTGTCAGTGAAAAAAAATTACTTTTTGTTTAAGTTAATACTAGGTTTTAGTTTTTGAAAGTAGCTTATTCCCTCATTTCTCCCTTTGCAGCCACCTAGAAGAACCTCGGCAACAGGAACTGAAGAATGTGAAATTTGCTTCATGGTTCTTCCTTCATCAGTAAGTGCATTCAGTTATTAATGTTATTTTGAAGCCTGTGATGCTGTGATCGCTAATGGCTTATTTTCATACTAATTAAAGTGGAACCAACGATGGTAACTCACGCTTAATGCTAAATAACTCTGTTATTTTTTTCTCTTTAAAATAAGTTTGTGAGAAAATAAAACTTTTTTTTTCCAGATGATGACAGGTCTAGAATGTGGGCACCGATTTTGTATGCAGTGCTGGGGAGAGTATCTTACTACAAAAATTATGGAAGAGGGAGTTGGACAAACTATAGCTTGTGCAGCCCATGGTTGTGATATTTTAGTGGATGATGCTACAGTGATGCGTCTAGTACGAGATTCGAAAGTGAAACTCAAGTACCAACATCTAATAACAAATAGTTTTGTTGAAGTATGTATTAATACATTTCTATTTTATTGAGAAATTGTTAGTGGTTTTGTAATATGAAATCCCTGACTTTAAGTTCACAAATGTCCATGATAGTACAGCATAGTGTTTACAGTTATATTATTTACAAGTGTCAGGATATGAAACATTTGCAATATTCACGTACATTTATTTTATGTGCAGTGCAATCGATTATTGAGGTGGTGTCCATCTCCAGACTGTAATAATGCAATTAAGGTGCAATATGTAGAGGCACGACCAGTTACATGCAAATGTTCACATACATTTTGCTTCGCCTGTGGGGAAAATTGGCATGATCCTGTCAAGTGTCATTTGTTACGCAAATGGATCAAGAAGTGTGATGACGATTCAGAAACATCTAATTGGATTGCAGCAAATACTAAGGTATTGAAAAGTCTTAAATTACATAAATATGCTTCATGATGAATTTCTGAAATAATTCCATTACAATTTTAAAAATCATTATCTAAGATGGAGAAATGCACAAAACTGAACTGTAACCCCAAATCTATAAGAATGTGTGGTTTTTTTCTCAAAACTCTTAGGTTAATAAATCAGTTATTTTTATATTGATTTGAAACTCTCTTACAAATAAAAGAATGCCTTTGATCTGTCATAGCTACTTGGTCTTCCGAGTTTTATTTGATTTGAAATATTATCATGGAAACAGTGGAAAATTGTGACATATGGGGGAGAAGTATTATCTGTGCATGTTTTCTTGAGCTCCAGTATATCTTGCCCACCTTTTACTTTACAAAGTTAAATGATGAATTAAAATACCCACAAAGCAAGGTTTGCAGCATTTGAAAACTATAATTTTTTCTCTCAAGTTTAAAAAACTTGCGTTGTAAACAAAGGACAGATTTTATTTCATACCATTGTTAAAAAATAGCAACCCTTACTCCTAGCTCTACTCCTTCCACAACTCGCAGGAGAGCTGAACAAAACAGGTGCATAGTATACATTTTTGTTTTCATCAAGTTTTTGTAAAATTATAATTATTAAACTATGAATTAAAATATATTTGTTAAAACAACAAACAATAATGTTGTTAAAACACTCTTTAGTTAGTTTCTTATTGGGTTTATTTAAAGGAGAGATACTATCATTACCATCATTTATTATATTTTTGATATTTGTTTAAAACAAATTTTGAACTTCTTTCTGGAAATTAATGGCATTTCTGGAAGTTAGTGGCCTGATGCAGCAAAAATGCTGCTGAACAAAACCACACAGAATGGTATTTCAAACAGTAGCTTGTACAATGCTCAAGATTAACAATAAAATACTCTCGTATAACACTGCAATAAATCAAACATTGTAACAAAAACAATCTGCACAAATACTACAGTAATATAGTTTATTTATAATGTGCATCAGTTATTTATTACCAAGTATGTCAAAAAAATGGAGGATGTCCTCTTCATTGGAGCTTTGGTGTGACAACCTTTAACTGTGTCGTAGGCAGTTATGGACTGAGGATGAAAATTAAGTCGATAATGCAGTGTGAGAGTTGGCAGAATAACACCATCAATTATTTGTGTATTTCAGTCAAAATTTAAACTGTTTCATTGTTTTTGAACTTTTCTAAGTCCCCTTTGTATCTAAAGAATTCCTGGATACCTCTCCCACCGTTAGATGCAACAGCTTTCTTCCAATTTCTGTGTGGGTTGTAAATTAGTAATATAGATTTTGTTCTGGTGAATGGTTTGGGGAATTTCATTAAATTTTATTTTGTTATAAATGATGCTGAGAGAAAGTTATACATCTCAAAGCTAAAAAATTTAAACAAAAGAAAATTCTAGGAAGACTTTTTTTTGTGATGTGTTGGATAACCATTTCAAGTTTTTGGTGTTACTGATCATAAGTCATAATAAATATCAATTCCTTTTTTTCAATGACTCATAGTAATTGCTCTAATATATTAACATTTTTACGAAACATTGCAGTGTGTCAAATGTATTTTTTTCTTACCCTTTTAAAGATTTTATATTTGAATGGGAAATAAAATGGTCTTCTTGTGCAGCCTGCATAGAAACAAATACATCTAATGGAATTTCAGGAGTAATAACTACAAATTTGATGTTTAAAAAAAAAAAATTAATCTAAAAATAAGAGTAAAGATGCAAATACTTCTGAAAAATGTATAAAGATTTCATTATACTTTGTCTCATTGGAAAATTGTTCTGCGTCTGTGTTCCATCTCCCTTCAGTCACATCATTATCTCCTCTGAAATTGGTTTATATGCTATGAAAGAATTGTTTTCTCCTAGTACATGTGCAATTTCATGCTCTTTCTCCTGCAATTTTAGGCTATGTTGGAAAAGCATTGTGAGTAATATTTGAGTGGCAGTTGTGAGTCATAAATTTTAAACTTACGATGAAATTTTATGTATCAAATAATTTTATATCTGCATTTCGAATGATAATTCCTATTTGGGAGAACTGAATGTGTATTTCCTTCTTCTTTTTTGCTGTGCTAAAAATTTCAAATTCGTATAGAATTTATAATTATTTTATTTACTTACAATCGACTCTGGTTATAGTGAATTTCTGAGGACTAACATATTTGGTTCAGTATGTCAGAGCTCCACTATATCTGAGGATGACAAAATTAAATAGAATGATTGATTTTATTAATAGATGTTAATGTACAAGAAATACATTAACAGCACAAACTGAGAATTTCAATATCTTCATTTGTCCTTTAAAAAAATCAATAATTTTCAATTGTTTGCTTCATACATTTTTCATTATTAATTTTTCTAGATCCTTCTCCAGAGTGGGTACTCTTGCCATTTTGATCCTGCATTGTCCACTGTCTCGAAATATTATAAGGCAGTCTTGGCACCCTTGACCCGGGGTGTCTCGTGCACTGTTAGAAGCCCCACACTTTGAATGCTCTTTTATTCACCTAATAACAAGACTCTTTCAGTTGTGGCAAGGCGCAAGAGCAGGAAAAACTGTGGGGCTGTGGAAGTTGCGCCATCCTTTGGAAAAATACAATATAACATGCTTTGACCCGCGGAATATCACATAACATCAAGCTTCAAACTGAGGGGCATGAGGTCATCAGTAAGGTTCCCATTCCGGGTCCACAAAATTCACTTCAGGGGAGACTTCTTAGATTACAACCTTGCCCAATATTTTTTTGTAGCTCCCTAGTGTTGGTGTTTGTGGCACTGAGTCGATATATTCTTTTCCAGGAGGGAATTAATTTCCAGGTAGTTGTATTTCCTATAACCGAAGTTCAGGTACACTACAATCATTTCTTCTTATGCTTATTTGTAATGAAAGTGAGATGGAAGCAGTGTCTTAAGTACACTATAACCAGAGTCGACTCTTATTTCTTAAATAATGTTTATGTTTCTTTGTTTTTGTTGAAATTGAAAACACTGTATGCATCCTAATACACCATACAAAGATCAGAAAAAATGATGGATGTCATTTAGAGGCAGTTTTTAAGGAGAAGCAGTTAAAATTTTGAAATTCCATTGTTTCCATTCAGCATATATTTTCAAGCATTACTACATTTACAAACTGGGTTGTTCCCTAGTTAAAATATATACAAGTGTATAAAGATTTCTACTTAACTTAACTAGGCATTGTCACTGTTCGATGTTGTATGGTTTTTTCCACCCACAAAATGGAGACATCCAACATTTTTCTACTAACTCATGTGCAAATGAATATACTCATTAAACAAATTTTTACTCAGGAATGTCCAAAATGTAATGTTACAATTGAAAAAGATGGTGGTTGCAACCATATGGTTTGCAAAAATCAAAATTGCAAGGCTGATTTTTGCTGGGTGTGTCTTGGGCCATGGGAGCCTCATGGTTCATCTTGGTGAGTAAAATTAATATTCAGAAGTATAAAATTTCTTTGGTGTATCCACTATTATCTAATTTAATAAATTACAGGTACAATTGCAATCGATATGATGAAGAAGAAGCCAAGGCAGCAAGGGATGCACAAGAACGATCCCGTGCAGCTTTACAACGCTATTTGTTTTATTGTAATCGGTACATGAATCATATGCAATCGCTGAAATTTGAGCATAAACTCTATGCTTCTGTGAAAGAGAAGATGGAAGAAATGCAGCAACATAATATGTCATGGATTGAGGTGATTATTAAATTGATTTGGAAAATGTATTTTATATTTTTTGATGTCATTGATCTTTCTAATGGAGACTCTTTCTAATTTCTTAACATTGATTACTAATTTACCTCTGTTCATAATTTAATAAAAGGTAACATATTCATCTGCAGGTTCAGTTCCTGAAAAAAGCTGTTGACATCCTCTGTCAGTGTCGCCAAACATTGATGTATACTTATGTGTTTGCTTATTATTTGCGGAAAAACAACCAGTCAGTCATATTTGAGGTATGAATTATTCTTGAACTAGATGTAAAATATTAATATTTTCTTGATTAAAAATATAGTGTTTAATTTTTTATTAATATGATGTTGTTTATTTAAAACAATTAATGTAAATCATGATTTCAGACAATGATTTTTGTTTGTTTTTTTTAATTATTTTTAAATCAAACATTTTTTTCCTACTTTTCATCAAGTTTCACAATTTGACCTTTTTTTACTGCTTGCCATTTAAATATAATATATGATTTACTAGTTTACAATTTCTTGGTGTATATTGTTTACTAGGTTGCACATCAGATATTTTAACTAAAAATATATGTAATATTCGTAATAAAAATTTAAAAGGTCTCATTACATACATACATGTATAAAAATTTATTATTATTTTAACATTTTGAAAAATGAATTTCATACTGTTTTGGTTCAATTACTTTCTTAAATTCTAATGTTTTAAATCATTTTACACATGTTTTTTGTGGAATAGCTAGAATTGAAAACATTAACATTTGAAATAAATCTGTATTAACGATCTTAACTTAAAATTACAACAAAAACATTAATTTAAAAATAATTGTTTACTGTACCAATTTATTAAAAATAATAGTATATGCCTCATTAAACTATTTAATGAATTACACTTCACAAAAAGCACTGATTTAAATTTTGACTGAGTAAAAAATATCATGATTTTCTTCCTTCCTTAGTATTGGTATTTTCGAATGTTGATCTGTAGAAGAATTTAATTGTTTTGTACCCATGTTTAAATTTCTTTATTTTAGGATAACCAAAAAGACTTGGAAAGTGCTACTGAAACACTCTCAGAATATTTAGAACGTGATATTACATCAGAAAATTTGGCTGATATTAAACAGAAAGTGCAAGATAAATACAGGTATTTTCATTGTTATATTATATATGTTGGTGTGTGATAAATTTCGTGAAATGAGGTGTCTTGCGACAAACATGCCTTTTGCTACGTAAAGATGGCAAGCACCATGCACGATGCTGGATAGTGGACCGGAGTTTTTCAAGGTTGTTTTGACAGTTTGAGGGAAAGTTTAATCGTATTGCATTCTTAACAGTTTGCAAGAAGAGATAGAAAAAAGTTCTTGATTTCTGTACGAATTGTTTCTAATTGTAAGTATCCAAATACTATTTCTTATTGAAATAGAAAATTTATTGTTTAAAAACTAGATTTTGATATACAAGAAACCGTGAATTCACTGAGTTTGTGGTATTTTGAATGTTAATTTCGCACACCAGCTGAACTTATAGATAAAATTTTATTTTATGTCATCCTGGGGTGACTAGAGACATGGGCAGAGTGTACTAGAGAAATCCAGGGTCCAGACATTATCAAAATGTCAAAAGCCTACAAAAGGCAGTAAAATATAAAAAACAAGAACATTCTTTATTATCTCTTCAAACTGTAGCTGAAAAGTTTGGTGTAACTAAAGATTCCCTGCATCAACGACTACAGGGGAAATATAAAAACTCGCCAGGAGGATAACCAATCTAATGACGAGAAGTACCTTGTGGAAGATATTACAGTTGCAGATACATGGAGGTTTCCTCTCACTGTGTTATATATCAGGTTAATTGTTAAAGGTTATTTTGAAGTGAGAAATGAAAAAAAATTCAGGAATAACTGCCCACGGGTGGAATGGGCCACGACTTTCCTCAATAGACACATATACATATCGTCACATCGGTTAAGTAAGAATATCAGTCGTTCATGTGTCAGGTTCATTTGAAAAATACGCAAAAAGGAAGAGAACACTCTTACTGCCAGGTTTTTAAGAGTTTGAAGACAAGAGATGTATATATTTACCCTTTGTCACAAGACCTTTTATCTGAGAGTTGAGAAGGGGTCGTCACAGATTCAACCCAACTATCCTGAATATATGATTCTAATTTTCACATTGTTTTAAATGTCATCCGAAAAATTATTTACAGTTTTATTACTTGGATAACATGTAATCATGTTGTATTCCCAAAAAGTTTAGCTTTTACTCCAGAAGCAGTGTTACACATGATAGATATCTGATTACAGTGTTGTCTCAAGTCACCCCAACCATCGGGATGACATGAGACAATGGTAATATGATGATAAAATCTTACAGAATTATGATTTTGTTTAAAACTCATTTTAAAGCTTACGTAGGGTTGCACTACCCAACAATAATTCATGTGTCAAAAGTAATTACATGAAATTCTATCAAAGCAAAAGTCCCAAATCTGTCTCGAGTCACCCAGTTTTACGTTATTACTTGGATAACATGTAATCATGTTGTATTCACAAAGAGTTTAGCTTTTACTCCAGAAACAGTGTTACACATGATAGAAATCTGATTACAGTGTTGTCTCAAGTCACCCCAACCGGTTACGGTTTTGTTATTTTATCATTCCTTATCTCAGCAGAGCTTGTGTTGAATGTCTTAACACGAATGCTGACATTGTGTCTCTGAGACTGATACTTTGTATTGTTTCTTTATTCAGCTGTGGATTTTTTTTGTATCTTAAGTGGATACACACTCTTTATGTAGTACTTGGAATATATTTATTAAATATAAAGTCATCTTCATATTGTAGTTCTGGCCAAAAGAAACTGATGATTATTATATTTGTGACCTCTTCATTGCTGGGGTTTATTTCCATAAAAATATATTTGAAATATGTGTATTTTAAAAGGTAGGCAGAGTTTTTGTTTAGAATAAAGTTTGAGCTTTCTACTTAATCAAATTTTTGTGATTTTTTTTTTCTTTAATGAGACAGTGTGGCGTAGATGTTTTATCTGTTGCTTTTGTTTACCGGTTTAATAGTATAATTATAAATAATTGATATTTATTGCTAATTTATTTATATTTCAAATAATTAAATATTTATTGTATCTTCTAAGGTTAGTTTAGAAATAATTTTTTTCGTTGAGACTAGCTTTTTTGTTGACTTCTTGGCAGTACAGAAAATTGTTATTAACATTAATAGTACCTTAAAATTATTAGAATGAATGCTTATCTCGCTTTATTTGTTCTTTTGTTTTGTTGTGATCTAATTAATGTGGATATTGTTTCGTTTTCTGATGCAAGTAAGTGTGTGAATGAGAGGTTAAGTGAAGTGAAGATTGCGATATTTTTAAGTGAAAAGATCATTTAGTGTTTTGAATGTGAAGATCAATGAATTATGAAAATCATCAAATTTTGATAGGTTTCCATTTGTAAAGTTTAATGTTGTTGAAATGTAACTCAGAATGCAGTAAAGATTTAACGATTTCATTGGTATTTGTCAATGTAATAAAACTGCCTTGAAACTGTATCCTAATGGTGTTATACCAATCCTCACATTGAGTCTACTGTACAGGTCTTAGCATGCCTTGTAAAGTCCATGAAAGCCATTAGGAAAATGACATTGGGTGTAATGCAATAATTCAAGTAGAAGTAAGTCAGGAAGCAACAGGGAATAGCACAACTGTTGCACTGCCTCCTACCAAAGGAGCAATGAATTAATTGATCTGGTTTTCAGAAAACCAGTGTGAGTTCTGCTAGGTTAAAACGGATGTGTTCAATTGATAGAAATTTGAAAAACTATTTTTGATTTCAGATATTGTGACAGCCGAAGAAAGGTGTTGCTGGAGCATGTCCATGAAGGTTATGAAAAAGAGTGGTGGGAATATACAGAATAAAGGGAGCTGACTGAAAGGCACAATGTGCAACGTTTTGTTTACCTTCAGTACAGAGTTCTACTGCTTGCAAGCACCTGAGTTACAGTAAGCAGGAAAGTCAGATCTCTGAACAGCAAAAGCTGTTGGTATGTTAAGGGTTCCTATTATGGGTTCCATGTGTAAAATGTATGAGTGGAATGCAATGGACTGATCTGTGAGCCATGCTCCACCCTCTAAATATTCTGGCTCTTCAAAGTGACTAGAGGAGGAATGAATAAAGGAGGAAAATTCCATGTACAGATTAAAGCAATTTCCTAAAAGATTTGTAAAAAAAAATGTATTTAACACCTTCCATGCTCACAAAGACACTGTACCGCAGTCCTCCTGGATGATTTCCTAAAAGGAACTACTGAAGCCTTTCCATTTTTTTAGGGGGTATTGAGATGTACATACATATTAATTTTACTGTTAATTCTCTTTGCTTCATCAGCACCAATAATTTACCCTTGTACAATCATTCAAACAAAAAATATTGTAATATTGTATTATTATTATTAACCTCATCATGATGTATGTGGGCCCTGGTCATGCTTCTGATCTGTAAATTCAGATGTCATCGAAGGAAGCTGCGTGTGAGGAACTGACATTTCTGATGGGCTGGTAGGTGTAGGGCTATGCCAATATCTTCATTAAAGTAAGAATTTCAAGAGTTTTGAACATGCAGATATTTTTTACTATTAAATGAAGAATGCATCATTGTATACGTGCCAGCTCTTACATGGTCCATTTGAATTATATGTCTTCCTGGACCTATGCCTAACTGGATACAATGATGTATTGTACATATGTTGCCCTCTAAATATTGATTCATACTATTCAGGACCGGTGTGAGGCATTTTAACTCTATTAAATAAAGAGTGCCAGACAGCTGCAAATTGTTTATTGTAGGTAGTATACGAAAATATTTGCAAATTTAGGACATGACTAGGAAAAAATTAATAAGCAGGAATTGAAAGAAAATTTGACCAAAGACAGTCCACGATTGCTTGAGGACAGTGTAGATTATTTCTTATATTTCTTTATTTTGGGGGTGTTTGTGTCCTCTTGCAATATTTGTAGTGCGCCTTAGACCGGCTCTGGACAGTTGACTTGTGAAGTACTGTAGTACATAATGTTTTAATGTGTTTCCCTCCACAAGCTTAGCTTAAAAAGTTACTGGTTATTGGTATTGGAATGTAGTGTGGATAATTTTGCTGCTAGCAATAATTTGTGTGTAACACATGTTGAACTATGCAATTCACTTTCTGCAGTTGACGAATCTACCTATGTAGTGTGACTGTGATGAATTTTTCTCAAATTCTGAATTTATAGGTCCTGGTATGTTAACCACTTGCTTCAGATTCTTTAATATGCTCCTGTATTTAGACATTATTTCCATCAAAGGAAAGGAAACATTTAAGTGTACATTACTGAAGACTTAGAATTACAGCATTCAACAAAAATTTGTTATGACAAGATTCTTAATTCCTGTCTTACGAAAGATCTGCAGTGTTCAGCTTTGCTTTTATAATGATGTGGGAAGTTCTTGAAGTGATTAGTACAATAAGTCTACATTCTTTTACAGCAATATGTACAGTATTCACTAAATCATAACATAGTCTTTGTGGAGATTACGTGTGTCGACTTAACCTGTGTTTTCCAAGAACAATAAGATCTTCATTGCCTCTGTCATCATTGTAGTATAACAATTGATACAACCATTTTATAAGTCATTAAATCTCAGTTTTTCAGCTATGTATTTGCTATCTCATGTTTTGGAGCAGTTGAAGTATTTGGGTTTTCGTGTGTGTTGTCTTCAAGAGTAGGGAAACATGTTCACTCAAAATATAGTTTGTTAATTTTGAATAGTTGTAAATGCGTTGTGTGTGAATAGAATTTGTTTTATTATTATTGTTGCTTGAAGTCCAAATATCCTCTTGTGACAAGCCAAGTTGACCTGACTGTCTTTTTCATGTTTATCTTCTCAGTGTGTGGTGTCATCATGATAAACAGACCTTGAAAAAAATTGTATGACTGGTCATACATTTCATGTTTGCTATTCTCAAAACGGTATCTGTCAGGTCAGCATATAGAAAGTTTGGCTGCAATGCGAAATACATTTATGACATGTAGTCTTGAATTTGTTTGTTAATCCAAGTTCCAGTTTTTGGCATGATTATAGTGAATGTTATATGAAAGGAAGATCACAGTTCAGCTACAAGCCAGTACCTCCTAATACCTTCTTGTTTGCTCAATGTCTAGCTAGCAGAAGGTCTTCAGTAACCAGTGACTTGGTGAATTTAATGGAGAGGAACGAATAGCTCTCAGACAGTAGTTATTGTAATTTTTTGTGATGAAGGAAGATTGAGTTATCTAGTGAAAGATGTAAAATACAATTTTTGTGATGCTGACATTATAGCTTAACATGCCTAGCAACTTAATTTCACCTTGAACTTTGCTGGTATTTTTAAGTTACAGTCTTGTTAAAAAAAACTGTACATTTGTAATATTAATGATAATTATAAATTGTCTTTCATGTGCTGTTGTATTTTTATTTTCCTAAAATATTCATTTTAAAAGACCTGGAAATTTGTGTACATACAATTCTAAATAAAATTTCAAATGTTTATTGCATTTGCTATAAATTTCAGCATTTCTTTTGGCCTATTGCAGTCGGTAATTTAACCGTCTTTCCATTGTGGAGAAAATATTTAATTTGCTGCTCACCTGACTTCAAACTGTTAATATTTAAAGAAAGGATCTGAAGAAAGATTCAATACATTTCATACAAGAAGTTTGTGGTAATGATGATGTTGATAAAATTACATGATAAAATATTGGAAGTAATTTCTGTAAACTTGATAGATTTATTTAAGAGCTGGCCCTTGACAGTTTTGCCATAGTCATCAGTCTCGCTGTGTGTAGCAAAAGTCAGAAAACCGTGCCTGGTGCAGTCCCGGGCTGCCTCCCACATAATACTCTGGTTTCCCAGTTTAGCCACGCACTGATGACTGATGAGAGACTGATGATTACGGCAAAGCCAGCTCTCTAAATGTATTAAGTTGACAGCGGTAACTTCCATTATTTCCTCATGAAGCATTTGGAAGTATGTGGCTGGATGTAGTTAGGTTTGGGTATGCAGCTCTGGAAGAGAAACTGAATCCCATTCTTTCCATCCAAATATTCCTTATGTAAAAGTGAAAATGATCAATTTGTATGTCCATAAGGAAGAACTGTTGTGGCAAGGTATCTTCCAAACCAGGGATGTACAACTTGCAAGGCCGGAACTAAAATTTTTAATATGGTTGCGGACCATATTCATATTACTTGAGTGATCCACACCGAACTACTCTGTATTGTTGACCTCTGCAGTTTTCCCATTTGCTCTGAAATGTGGGGGGAGGAACCATTTATTAATGAGGCCGTATATCAAGCATGATATCATGCATAACGCAGTGAAACACATTAGGATTATTTGGATTTCTAAATTTACTAGAAAAACTTTAATCTAAGCTTCATCTAATTTTACATTAAGGTGTTTGTTCTTACAGGGCGCATGCGCTATGTGCGCAATATTCTTATGCAATGGACTTCCACTTTTGACTAATACTTTTTTGTGAGCCACAATAAACGTTGGTCAACCCTGCTTCAAACTGATTATTATACATATTTAGTCCAATCATATGGTAGAAAAAAAGGAAAAGTTTAGGGTAGTTTTTGGACTTTGGTTCCTATGTTTTTTTGGGTCGCTGAACACAAATATCATGTTTGCCTACACATTTTGCCCCAAATAATGGTTTTGAAGCAAAAAATGTGTAAAAATTGCACCTTTTTTCGATTTTTCTAAATAACTCGAGAACCATCTATTTTTCGTAAATAAAGGATCTATATGAAATGAAAGAAGATATACCTATATTTAATGTCATTAAGCATTTTTATTCAATTAACGGTTTAGCATTGGTGACACACTGAACATGAAAAATGAGATTAATTCATGTTATCTTGGTTTACCTTGATTTATCAGGACATGTCCTGATTTGTGGACTTGTGACTGCCCTAATTTGATTTTAAAAGCCCTGACTTTTTAGTCTGTGTCATCTATTTATTGTTTATTGTAATTTTAATAATTCTAACATAAATACACAATAAATAAAATTGCTAGAGAAAAAAAAAGTGATATTAGAAACGAAACTCAGTGTTTCTAACTAAAGGAACAATAGATATGTCTTATCCTTGTACTGAGATATTGAAACAGAGATAGGGAGAATCCTTAATCATAAAGCTGCCATGCTAATAATTAACTGTACTGTGCAGATTTAACATATAAATTGATCTCTCTACTGTAGTACAAAAACTACCATGTCCCCATTGTAAAAAAATGTTCTGATTTTTTCAACTATTGAGTATATTTCATTTTACCAATTGATGCTTTTTGTTAATTCCAAGTAATCTGAGGAATAGTCATATTCAGGCTTGTACAAAGATAATACACACTTCAATAAACTTCGCACTGCTGCAGAAAATGGCAGTGTTCTCTTTTGTGACCTTTTATAGGTCTGTGAATGCAGTGGGTCTGAAGTAACGAGGAGAGTATGGAGCAGATTTTCTACATTAACTCTTCAGGATCATTTTCTAGCACGACCCAATCTGCATCTTCTCTCATTTTACGTCTTGCTTCTTGAGCTTCCTCAGATAATTGTCCAATAGGCAATATAGCGTGTTCAATAATTTTGTAATAGATTCTAGTAATATATCACTATTCCACCTCTTTCTTTCCGATCTAATATTAATATATTGCCGCTTTGTCGTGTTATTCTCTACCATAAATGCCAAAGCTTCTTGGTCAGTAAATAGTACTGGAGAAGGACTTGGTTTCTTAAAAGCCTTTTTTAAATATTGTGACTCTCGTAGGAGTTGTGGTCGTCTCGTGAAATGTCTCCATTCGTTCACAATTTCTTGCTTGGAGAGCGATGCAAGTGCTGTTTGAATGCACTTCCTCCTGCCATTCAATAAAGCCTTTCCGAGGTCCCCTTATACCTGAACTGGAAGAGGGAGTAAGCTCTAAGGGCCCCTTCCCACGGCGCGGCCGCAGCGCGCTTCGCAGCAGCGCGGCGCGTAGCAGAGCATGTTTGAATGGAGCCTTCCCACGGTGCACGAGTTGGCGGGTGCAAACGGGGTGGGAACGCCGAACTCCAGCACGCAAAGCGGAGGAGGGGCCACGCGGCCACGCTAGCAGAACACAGGCTTTAAATGGAGCGTGTCGCCACGGCCGAGACTTCTACCTGCTCCGTCCCTTGTTCGTCGTCGCCGGGAGGCGGTGAAACCTACCCTCCAGACCCACCCCTTCCACGGCGGACGGCGGTCGGCCGTGCTCCGGCGCTGGCTGCGTCGAAGTGCTTCGTTGCTGGAACGAAGCGCGCCGCGGTCGCGCCGTGGGAAGACGCCCTAAGTAGCGCCATTTTCTCTTCCTATTCACAAAATTGCCATAAAATACTTTCCCGTTCTTTCTTTGCATTCTCGTAAAACTAGCTTGTCCTTAACAAAACTCGTCATCATCTAAAATGAAAGAATTTTCTTAGTTCGACGTAGTTGGACATTAAACTCAATCCATCATAAAGTACACATCCCAGCAATAAACTGATATATTTTTATCGTGATACCGATTAGTCCACATTGTTGAAAATGTACGTGAAAGTCGGAAAAGTGTAAAATTTAGTTCTCGCGCCACTCCTACTTAACAGCTTGTTTTACGTTAAGAGGAGCGATGGATAAAAATATTAAGGCCGGGGGATAGTACTTACTTGACTGAACAACTTCCATATCAAGAGCTTCGCATTCACCTTTCCATTAGAAGTGAGTATGTTTATATCTTTCGTCATCTGCCGAGCGACTAACTCGCGTAGCACTTCCTTGAAGAAAAGGGGTCCAGGTCCATAGGTCCTAGTCATGCGTGTTGTTTACCACATAAAATTTTTGACAAGAATTATGTGTATTCATGTGTATTACGTCAGGTACCCCCTTTTCCAAATAGTCTTCCTTATTTCTTAAATGTATGTTATTACAGTGTTGTGGAAATTTGGTTTTTTGTAATCATTGCTGTTTTAACTCATTTGACTCCATGTGTGAATCCACAAAATTAAGGTCTGTAATGAGATAAATTAGTATTGATGAGGTCAATTAGGCATTGTTGACTCGTTGGCAATGCTATAAAGACTTAAGAAATAAACCAAATATTTTAAAGTATTAAAAACTGCACTGTCGTGCAGCAAGTCAAATAATAAGATGAGTAAAGTAAAAATATTATAACCGACAAATATACTTAAAAATGAACGGGGCCCGGAGTGCACAACTCAGTATGAAACTCGGGATATTGCGTCCAGGGTCGATCGTGCTGTGTTGCTGCTTTTCCCGAGTTTCCTCGGCGCCCCCGCCGGCGGGAAGTCGCCGGTGCTGACGGAGCAAGTGGTCCTGGCATGACACCGAGGCGTTGCCATACAAGGCGGCCTCCACCTCCTCACTCGGGGCTTCACGTCGAGCACTGCCCGCCCCGGTGAGCGCCCACATCGGCTTTCGCTGGTGGGCTCAAGGTGGCTGCTCTAGCGCCGTGATATCTGTCCTGGCGCGAGCGGGGGCGGGGGGTCGAAAAGTATTCCGATGTCAAAGACTTTCTGCATTTCACTAACGCTCTTTCCGTCCGTATCGTCGAAGGCAGCTGCTCTCTGCAGTATCTAGCTGAGTCAACTCTGTGACAGCTGCTGTCAAGTCCTCGAATCTGGTGATGCCCCGCTTATAGCACAAGTTTCTGCGAAGGGTGATGGCGGGGGACCGCTAGCTGGGGAGGGGGTCACCACCTTGGGAGTGACAGGAGCAGTTTGAAATTGCTGCAGGCCTCGGAGTGCTTGGCCCCTCTCCTTCCAAGCCCTGGCCTCCGTCGCGGTCTCGCGTACTACCCACTCCGCGGCGCCACCGGTCGCCAGGGCTGACTCCATCTCTTCGTCCTTCTGGTTTTCCGTCTCGTCCGGTAGGCCTCCAGATCCGCGCGGTATTGGTTGCTGCCGGGGTGTGAGCATTGCAACCAACCTGACTGGGACGCTCTGCGGGTTGCCGCCAGGGGCTGCAGAGTCGCCGGGCCGCTTGTCACCAACTACGTATTTGGCGGCCCTTTGAGGCCTGGTATTGCGTCCCTTCACATTACGATTCACTTGATACAATGCTGTTTGTTTGATATTCTATTTTTTAACGGCCCGTTAAAAAAATACGGTCTGAATTGCGAGGCAAATTCGCGTGGATGCAGAGAATACGACCCCAAATATAATTTCGTATTTTAAGTACGTGCGATATTTTACCACCTTCGCAGGTCATTGTTACGTCAACATTTACAAACTTTGTAAGATTGAAAGGCAATTTAAAAAATAACCGACTAGTCTTAATCTGCGAATATGAGACGTTCCCGCATTTTTCGACTGGTGTATTTAAGGGAAAAACTGGTCTTATGTACGGGTAATTGCGGTACACATACATATGTATATGCACGTACATTCGTATGTATGTATATATATATTATAATATATATATATATATATATTATATATATATATATATATATATAAATACACTGGAACTTAATTGAAATCTCTCACGCATGTCTGGGAATCATTCCTTTTGTTTGACGAATATTGCAACAGGGTTGACATTTACCTTCGGTTTGTCAAGTCGATTTTAGTTCGATTTACTTTCGTTAACTCAAAATTAAATAATTTTCCACTTAACTTTTAAGTTCTACGATCGTAATAAAATTAGTAAACTAGTGGTGCTACAAAATGACACAGACTTTCCCGTATTAGTTTTCTGTTTCCTTTGGTCTTGGCTTATTTAAATAACGTGTACTTATAACTAGAATAATGTAAACAAGTTTTCGATAAAACAAATATTAACGGACAAGTCAAAAAATATATATTTTTGTATTTTTTGAAAAGACAAAAGAATAGAGCAATATGGCGTTTATTTCATCTTATAGAGTGCATTTAGCACTATCACTACCAAACGTTTAAAAAAAGTTGGAGCCGTTTTGGAGAAAAAAATTGTTTTTGTAATTGGTTTTTAAATTGCAAGTATTGCTCACAATATTGCGCGAAAACGACTATAATCTTCAAAAAATTTACATGACCTTAATGAAAGAACTCATCGTGTAGAACAAATTTTATTTGACGGAAAAATATCTCTTTTAAATTTTGTAGTTTTGTAAGAAGACGCAGAACAAAACTCAAATTTTGAATGTTTCGTAAATTCAGAGATAAAACTGGGAAAATCGGATCTATGCCACCTTGATAAGTGTATTTTACTCTATGCTTACAAGAAATTTAAAGGAAAAATTTAGATCCGTGTTTGATAAAAGTGTGAAAATGTCCCAGGGACTTCATGTAAAGTACCCCCTAACTTAAAATAATATTTTTCAAAATCTGAAAGCTTCGTCTCGAGACAGTTGGTCAGGGGTTTCTCCAATTTGGAAAAATTCCTACGCATGGTTTAAGAGCTAGTGGTGCTCACAGACGGATGACGTTTTGAAGAAAACCACTTTTTCGGTATTTGGGGACCCCAAAACGTGCATTTTCGTTGAAATATCGATATTAATTTTCACGGTGAACCTAAATTTTTGAAAATTTCAAAAGTTTGAATATTTTTCGATATCTTCGCAACTACGAAATTGAAGGTAGAGATTTTTCCTGAAATGAAATTTGTTCTTCGTGATTTGTTTTTTCATTAAGGTCAGGTACATTTTTTCATTAGTTTTCGCACAATATTGCGTGCAATTTGTACAATTTAAAAAAGTACAAAACAATATTTTCTCGAAAACGGCTCCATATTTTTAAGTTTTGGTACAAATAGCGCTAATGCACTCGATGTGGTGACATATAGTGAATGATTAATATTTATATTAGCGGCGATTTGTTCAGGGTTATTATATTAATGATTACATGTGCTTTAAATAATATATAATAAGTATCTCGAAAACTCAACTGTTTTGTGTGAAAACGAGCTCAAATTTCCGCACTTTCAGAAACGCTCAAACGCCATTTTCTCAAAAACCGCTTCAATTTTTTTCTTAAAACTTTTCGAAAGATATTGCTAATTGCACTACTTAGTATGAAGTAAAGTTCATTTGTTTTTTTTTGTTTTTTCAAAAATTATACAAATGTTATTTTTCCAAGATCTCTCACGCAGGTAATATGAACATTCCCAAGAATTTGTAAACTCTTGTATTTGTGTCTTATAATGCTACAAACCACTTCGGTTGAAGTTTTTCGAAAACTCAAAAAATGTCTGTGAAAAAGAGTTTCTAATTTCGAAATTACTAAAAGCTCTATATTTTCCAAAGAAAATTGTCGTTTAGTTCGAGGTTTTACTGTTCTTCAATATTCTTAAAAAATCCCCCCCCCCGAAACTTCACTAACTTTATATTTAAAAATAATAAATATAAATTAAAAATAAAATACATGTATTCACTTTTTAATTTTGTGGAATTGTATATATTATATCCGTACTTTCAATCAGTTGCCACAGTGCAAAACTTATTCTTTTTAATTTTTTCTCGTGTGTTTATAAAGAAAGGTTTAAAAATGATCTTTTACCCCGCTCCGAGACAATGGAAATAAAATGCTTTTAATTGAATTCGAGTACGCGTTTTAGGGTTCTTGATAAATAGTGGCTGACGTAAGGATGTCGTTAATGCCGTAAGGATGCCTTAGATAATAATATCTACGAAAGTCTGAGATCACAAACATCCCGGCTTGCATCCCCAACACTGCATCCCGGCTTGACCAAAGTTATTCTGTTATCTAAAAATACCTCTTTTGTTCTATTTTCAACAACCTTGAAAAACAATTCCTTTCATTTCTTGTTACTCTTTTACTTTAATTTTACTTATATTTCCCGAACTGTCATCAATTTAAATAATAATTCTTTCACCACCCAATAGTACACTTTCTCCACTATAATAAAGCACTTCCTACAAAAATTCATTCATCTGTCACAGTTTCAACACAACACGTAAATCATTCATACGTTTTTACGACAATATCAAACATCAATCAGCAAAATGTCGTTTACCAATAATTTCATTCTTCTCTCTTGAACACTTATTCACGCCTAGACGCAATTAAAATCAATATCAAAGTTACTTTTATAAAGAGAATGAAGAAAAACAACCTGAATCATTCTTAAATATAACATTTCCGATAAACCATATATCATCTGCACTCAATAACGAAAACATAACCCTCACCAAAATAGAATCAAACGGAAACTTCCGAAAATTTTAATAATCCTCCTTCACCTGCATCAAATCAACTTAATTTGTTTCATACGATGCATTAGCTACATTTTGTTTCTCATTCAACTCCTAAACTCTAAAATTAATTGTATATTTCTTAACCTTCTGCCAAAAGCCTCATAGGCTAACAAATGTTAATATTCAATAAAACAACATTGACTATCGATGACGAAGTTATGATGAGAGCAACGTACTCTGATATTATTTATTGCCATTATTTTTATAGGTATGAAACCATGAGATGAAAATCTGCAACATTACAATGGGATATTTCATTTTGATAGCACCCAGTATCACTTTAACTGATACGATAACTCCTCCACTAAGTGCTGTGTAAAACCAGCTTTAGATGATAAGGTCTTGTGATAAGATGATCTCGTTCCCACTGCCCATACTATAAGTTATAACTCAACTCATATGCTCTTTTAAGCAAGGGCAATTGCTAAATTTATTTCCTGCCAATATGCAAAGATTCGCATGAGTCCATCTTCCCGTATTCATTCTCGCCACGCATTTCAAACCATTCTGTTTTCGTAGCTTTTTATTCATAAACGAAAGCTGTGACCTATTCAATATTTAATTTCCTCCACTTCTAATTTTTAGTTTCACTTACACACGTAAGAAGAAAATTGTAATGATGCGTCGGAAAACGGCTAATTTTCGATACAAAATTCCGTATTGCCAGCCCTCGTAAGGAAAAAGTGGATAAATCCAATTGTTAAATAGAGAAAAAAATCCTCTAACACATGGTGTAGCGAGAATCCATGTTTTGCGCGTCCTTCATACTGAAAAATCGACTGCGAAACGTCT